TGTTCAGCTTGGTGTCCGACCAAGCGCTCTCAGCCAGGACGGCTATGACGTGCGCAGACATCACGCCGCACAATTTGATTATGCCCCGCGCGGCGCCCAATGTCAGCGGGCAGAGCTGAGCGTCGCGATCGCGGGCGATGGCGCTGCCCGTCCGCGTGGCGCGGCTTTTGTACTGGCCCCGCAGTGCCGTGCGCCATATGGTATATATTTCGTGGCACATGCGCTGCAACGGGTTGCCCAGCACGGTTGAGGCGTCTCCTCGCGCCCGCCGGCCGAAAGGCGCGGCCGCGTCGCGGGAGGCCCCCGTGGATATCAGGCAGTAGTGTTGGAAGGTGCTCGGGGGCCCTGTCGTAGCGGCGGCAGCTGCAACGCGCACCAAAACATCTAGCTTCTCACGCCCGGTCCGGGCCAGCCTTACACGTGGTAAGAACACCGTCCGCCGGCGCAGGTGGCAACGGATATCGGGTGCGTGCCCTGATGCAAAAAGCTGAAGTAGCTCCGGCGCATACTGGGACAGCGTCTGCCAACCACCGCGCGCTTGGCGCCCTGAGTCATGCTCTGTACCAGATATCCAGGAAGCGGAGCGACGACCAGGGCCGAAGTGGCCACCAGCATGGCAAGTGCCAAAACAGCCAGTCGCCGTATCTCCTTTAACAATGGCGAATGCGCAATGCGCTGTAATCTGCCGGGGGCTGTATGAATCTTCTTCCGCTCGCGTTATGTGAAGTATTTCCTCTGCGTGCCGAAGTCGGCACCTAAGGCCTTCATGTGTTGTCGGCACCTAATGCCTTCATGTGCGTGTTGGCCAGGTCGTGATCGGTGGAATCTGGTCGCACGTGAAAGGACTGCGTCTTGGCAACATTGGTACGCGAGGCGGTCACTGTCTCCAGCGGCGCACATTCAAGTTCCACTGCGGCCAAGTCTGCACGCGTCCTCGCCACAATGGCGCAGTCATCCGCATGTCGGGAGCGGCCAAGAGGGGGGTGTCCAGGAGGGGGGGGTGCAAATCATGACTGGCGGCACGTGCGGGGCCCAGCGGGGAGGCCAGGGACGTAATGAAATAAGAAGAGGCGGCATGAGATCAGGGGAAATATCATGGCCCCCGCCATGATATCCACCCCCCCCTAGTCATCACCCCCCTCTTTTCCGTCCCCGAGCATGCGTGCAGAGGACCGTTCGCGGGCACCTGTCCCAAATGCGCCTCAAAGCTGGCATGCGCGCCGCGGCCACTCCCAGCGCCGAGGCGGAGCCCCCCTGAGGGAGGGAGGGCCCCGCGGAGATCGGCCCCGGAGATACGAAAGGACCATTTCCACCGAGCGGGTCTGGTGCTTCCACACATGCAGAATTCTGCTACTGACCGTAGCTGGGACACCCAACTCAGACCAAATCGCCGCGACGAGGGCGGGATCCACCCGGTCAAAGGCGGAAGGGTAACCCCAGCTCTTGACGCACAGGTGGCTGGCGGCATCGTCGCACCACGCCTGCTCTGCGGCAGCGTAACCAGAGCGCCGTTCAGGTGACAGGCGGTTGGCTGCCACAGTTTCCCCCGCTGCAGAAAGGATTGCTTTCGAGAGAGCCTTCAGACTGCGGCCCCTCATGCCACCCTTTTGGTTGGTTGTGTGGGGAATCTGGCAAGATATTATCCACCAACTGGCGAGTGCGATATCTGTGCCAAGCCCTGACCACGGCGCACGCCACAGCAATCGGACGCAAACGGTCGATCCGAGCCACGTCCGCGGCCTCGTCTTTGGCAAGATGTACCTGTCGCTGCTGCAGTAAGGCCGGGGGGCATTCCGATCGTTCGACACACGAATAGAGATTGATCAACTCGTCGAGTGTATAAACCGGCAACAAACATGGTTCGCATGGGGACCACTGGTCGGGGATAGGGAACTCCCAACCATCGCCCGGACCATCCCTCGGAACTCGACCGTGCCCGGGGCCAGCGGATCGATCCAGGAACCCACTGTAGTAACCACATCCCGTCATAGATGGTCCTGTGAATCCTGCTGCGCCCGCGCGTCGCACTGGGCCTGTTCTATATAGTCCCCGTAGAACGCCCAATACCCATCTATGTCATTAACAATGCCCGTCGCCATACTGTTCCCGTACGTTGTCCACTGCGCCTTGGTCAAAAGATACAGTTTTATTAGTTCATACCGCTACATTGTTGTAGTACCCGACGCCGTCGCGGACCCACGCAGCCATGCTCTTGCCCAAACAGTCCGCACCGACGCAATGCGCTCACAACGGCTCTTATCGATGGTCCTGCCCAAGGCAGTCTGCACGGCCACTGCTGCACCACCACGGTCGCGAGGCAGCTCTCCGCCCATGACCCTCCATAGGCGTCGCAAATGTCGACTGTGCATGGCTACTGCTGTCGCAGACCCTCTCACCCGGCGTGCCGGAGGCTGTCATAGCTGCTGTAAAGGTTGCCGTAATGTTTTTCGTGTTTGGTGTAGGAATCGTCGCCGGGTTCGGCGCACCTCCAAGCGGTCGAATTCATGTCAGCCCTCGGAGCGGGAGTACCCCTCACCACAAGATCTGGGCAAAATCTTAAGACATCTTCCGCACCAAGTGGGCTCTGTGGATCTTCATCGCATCCGCATCTTGAGGCATCTGCATCGGAAGAATTCGATGTTCTCTGCGCTGGCATGTCCCAATCATGTCTTCCCATGTTTCCGCGAACTGACTATCCGCCGGCCCCCTTGTGGGGCCACCAGGCTGTAGGCCCAGGGTTTGCAGTTCCCTGAACCAGTTCCAATTTCCAGCTTCCACTGTTACAATTCTGTCATGTGCTGTTTATTGTTCCTTGTTGATGGACCGCGCGAGGGGGGGGAGCAGAGAAGGAACCTTGCTACCACGCCCGAGTCGCGTGCTCTGAATTCCGGGGGGGGGGGCGTGGGACAGGTACAAATGTATGACACTCGCGCCCCCGAAGCCATGAAACCCTCGCACATTACACAATACTCGCGTCCCCGAAGCCATCGACCCTCACGAATTACACCATATTCGCGCCCCCGAAGCCATACACCTTTCCAAAATACATCATTTTCGTGTCCGCGCCACAGAAACCATCAACCCTTGCAAATTACGCGATCCTTGCGTCCCCGAGGCAACGAACGCTAGCAAATCATGCAAAATTCGCATCCCATACACCTACGTGAATTACTCAATATGCGCGTCTTCGAAACCATAAACCTATATAAATTACGCAATATTTGCGACCCCGAAGCCAGAAACCTTCGCAAATTAAGCCGTAACGGCGTGTCCGAAGCCATAAAGCTGGGCAAATTACACAACATTCGCGTCTCCGAAGCCATACACCTGCGTAAATTACGCTATATGTGCGAGCCCGAAGCCATACACCTGCGCAAATTATGCGCTATTCGCGTATCTGGAGCCAGAAACAATCGAAATACAACACCGAATGCAATATGATCAGAATATCAATTTGTCTTGCCGGTTACGTATCGTCTTCGCGTGAAGTCCCGACGCCGCTTCACGGCGGCGCCAATGCCTCATGATTTCGCTCTTGCATTGGCCATTATCCGAGAGAGGGGGCTGGCGGCAAGGGGCGAAGCTCTCACGGATGTTAATGGTCCATGCCCGCACGGGCGTAGTCGAGGCCGAAACCTCCACCTTCCCAGGCCGAATCGGTGCCGAGGCCAACCCTTCACTTGCGTTTAGGCTTACAGATCCGCTTGCTGATGAGGGTGGCCGGCGCTTGTTCCAGAAGATGTCGTTTCCGGATTTCCGGCGTATTAAGGACCACACCATTTTTTGGGAGCGCTGTCCGTCGCAATCCCCTGTACCGAATCGTCTTCGCAGGGGCCTCCGGGTGAGCAGTGTGGTGGTGCTCCATCTTGGCTGCGCATGCCTACGCGCACACGGTGGAAGATGCCTGGCGTATACAACATAGCGGGCATTCCCATGCAGCCTGCTCGGCGGGCAGCTCGCAGGATAGTGTTGGGGCCGGCGTGGATTGTCTGAGGCGGCCTGCCGCGCTCGTGTTCTCGCCAGCGTGGTTCTTCTTCAGGTGGGCATGAATTGGGGAGCTTGGTGTGACGTACCCCGTTTTTTTCTGAACTTCGTGGGTTTCCGAAACCAAATTTGTTTGATAGTACGTGTGCACACCGGAACCGTCACAACTTCCCTACACAGTCCGCACGTCCAGGATTGCGTCTCCGAGCCAGAACTCGATGGACTAGGGACCACTGGCACCGATTTTACCTTGGCCGCAGCTTTGGCCTTCGCCGTTGTGGTCCTCGATCTAGGGCTGGCGGCCGAGCGTCTGCGTGCAGTGCGCTACAGCGGGGCCAGCCAGGAGTCCACCGACGGCGCCACGGAGCTCTTCTTATTGTTGGGTGCGGGATGGCCTAAACCACCCAACCAGGAACCCACACTAGAGGCGCAGCTTCGCCCTCCCGTCTGGGACATCTTCTTAATCCTCTCGACGAGCTTGGGTTCAGTAGGTCTCTTGATAGCCTTTTTGAATTTGTCTATCCCTGGGGAACAAAATATAACAATAACCCTTGTAAAACAAATGTGCGATGCTGGGTTCAATAAAGCTGCTCCGGCCTCGTCTGCGCCAGTCGGCATCCAAGTAACACGGCCGATCCAGCTCAGGGCATTCGCGGAGTCACCAATGCCCCCCACCCGTGTGTATGTGTAGATGATGTAGATGTGCCTGTGAAGGCCAGAAGGCCAACCCCGTCGATCCACCGAGTCGACCTCTTGCACGCCGTAAGGTAATCATCCCATGTATATCCCCTCCCTCTGTGGTAGTGTTCAGCATTTCTTCTGGTCGGCAGGACGATCGGCCTCGCAGGCTCCGTCCAGAGCGGTCTCGAACGCCACGCCCCTGCGCACGCCCACGGAGTCCAGGCAGACCTGTGCGAAGAGGTCCCTCCCATCAGCCCGCACTTCCCACCCTCTACCCCCGTCTTCCAGTCCAGGGTCTTCTTGCACCAGTCGCGGAAAGAGCGTGTCGGCGGCCGTCAGCGACATGATCTCCAGTCCAGGTTCCCGAACCAAACCCACTTCACGAGCTTGCAGTTCTCGAGGCAGATGCCAGGGACGCCGTGCAGAGGATTGGGCACGCCCTGGGCGGCGAGGAAGGGCCTCAGGCGGCTGGGCAGGAACACTGCGCCGCAGTCCGCCTTCACGACGCAGTCGGCGCTCCTGTACTCTCCGGCTGCCAGTATCGCCTTCCAGACCTGGGTGTGCAAGCCTGTGTTGACCCAAGAGGCCGTCTCCTTGCGCTTCAGGATGTGGAAATCGCGGTCCACGTCGTCCACGGCCACGAAGGGAACGCAGGGCTTCAGGTCGTCACCCGCGTCGCTGAAGATGCCCCTTTTCCCACAATCGAAGATTACCATGCCCTTGTCGTACGATGCCCTCAGCAAGCCCAGCTCTTCCGGGCGCGGGACGGTGCCATCGCTGCCAGTGTCCGACATTATCTTTACGAAAAAATAATACATCGCACTCCCAGTCGCCATGGCATCGTCCAGATACATGGGCTCGCGGGCCTTCGGCACTGGCACCGTGCACGCGTAGCCGTCGCTCTTGAAGCAATTCTTCAAGCACTTGGCCTTGCCAGGCGTATCCGTCACGAAGCAGGTGTAGCCGGCAACGTCGCAGCACGCGGCCTCAAAGCAGTCGTCGGTCGTCGCCGCGCAGTCCTCCCGCCGCGGCTTCGCCAGCACCTGCAGCAGACTGAGGTCGCGCTCCATCTCGGGCAGGGGGTCGTCGATGAGGCGCCGGGCCACAAAGCCGCCGCCAGCGCAGGCGAGGCAGGCCACGGCGGCGCCGCCCAGGGCCCGGCGGGTGCTCCACGTGGGCACCGCCTCGGGCAGCGCGTCGCTGCCGCTGCTGAGCTCGGCGTCCCGCGCGTCGGGGTGCGTTGCCATGGCCGCCTGCTGGACTATATGGCTGCGAACGGTGTGGGCTAAAGAGAGGCCACATTTCCAGCTGGGCTTCCCTGGCTGCGCGATAGATGGTAAGTATGAGCATGACATGTACACGTCCTGACAAGACAACGCGGTCCAGACAATCCCTCGGGTAGTACGCAGCACCCTGCACTTGCGGAAAAGAGTGAGGGTGCGCTCCGCCGTCCTCCAGCCGCCCCCATAAGTCGCGCCGAAACGTCTCCCCGAAACGTCGTCACCAGAGGCCGAGTTCCTATCCAGCCACGCGCGCGCGGAGAAAATAAGATTGTTCGGGCCCCCTTTTTCTATCCCCCCCCCCCTCGTCCGACCCGATCATGTCCGGCTGACTGCCTCCCCTCGGCGCAAATACATCACGGCGGGTGGTGCTTGGCAGCCTGCAGCCTCCCGGACAGCCAACAAAAAGTTAGGGATGAAAACCCAGTCCCAGGGAAGAGGTCCAGACCTCCTGGGGCCCACGTTGCGAGGAAAGCACGACGTCAGAGTCCGTCGCGCGGCGCGCAGAGGGCGGTATGGTAGAGGGGGGAAGGCTTCTTAGAACGAGGCCTGCCTCTTAGCAGGCGCTGGCCCTGCATGTAAAGGCGAGGCCCTCGCCTTCTAAGAAGCACCCTCCTTCTAAGAAGCCTTCCCCCTTCCCCCTTCCCCCTGGGGGCACCTGGGTTGACCAGGGAACTACTGTCCCGGCATTCCTATAGTCCTACCACGAAATGCTCGTAGAACCCAGAAATGTTCGACCAACCAAAACAATGTTCTTAGACCATTAACCCCATGTGAGAAAACAAGACAGACTCCGCCAGAAATGTTATGAGAACACTTGTTGGAAACCACAAGAGGTTCTTAGAACAGCGTTTGGTAGGACTACAGGCACGCCAGGACGCTTCGCCACTGCTTGACTGAGCGTCGCAGGGCTGCCTGGTGCAAGTGGGCGCGCGGTGCGCCGGCCAGGCCGCGGAGGGCACGGAACGACCCTCTGCGCGTGGCCGAGTTCTGGGACGGACCCCCTCGCCGAGCCTGACCTGGCCCATCCTGGGCCCAGGCTCGGTGCCCAGGCCGACGCGGCCTGGCCAGGGAGGCGGCAAGACCGATCCTGGGCCCAGGGCCCGCCCCGCAGAAATCGGCGAGGTGGTCGGCTGACATCCCCCGAGTTGAAGGAGGAGCAGCCACTCGGGCCCTCTGCACCCCCGCTCCTCCCGCTCGTCGTGCTCCTCCCGCCCCTCCCGCCCCTCCTGCCCCGCCTCCTTCTCTCGGGCCTGCCGCCCTCCTCCTGCGCGGGCCTGCCGGACCGCACTCCGATGCCGCGGGCCACCGCCGGCCCGAGTGCCAGGGCGGTGAGCACGGCGGCCGCCAGCCGCCGCAGCATGGCGACGGGAGCCGGCGGCGGCGGAGCCGCGTGAAGTAGCGTGAAGTGGCGGACCACCGCTGCACAGTCAAGGCCAGCTTGCGTGTCCCCAAGCAAAGCGGTGAGGGCATTGGATCAGAAACCATCGGATAAGGAAGCCAGGGTCCGGAAGCCCGTGGATCTCCAATCATGGGTGGGCCATGGACATCACCGCGGGCAGCGTTTCGTGCCAAAGCGTGGTGGGCCAGAACAGGCGGAGCTACACCGCTACACATTCAAAGCCTAACCGATTTTGCCGATTCCAGAAACTCTGAAACCAAAAACCTCGGCATCCCTTCGGAGGCCGACCTTTCCTTCCGTTGGCTTCAGCCGGCCTTCCGCCAGCGGAGCAACCCTTGTTACACTTCCGTCCGACGCCCTTCCGCCGAGAAAGATACGACAACTTCTTCGATGATCGACGGCCAAGCCCTTTTGGGAACCCGCGCTTCAGGGTTTTAAAGCGCGCCGAAGGAATTTGGAAGGGTCGGGCCAAGTTTCGCCACGTTGCCGCCCGTGGCCGCTTCGTGTGCTGGGCGGATCTGCGGGGTTTCGCCACGGGGTTTCGCCACGTTGCCGCCCGTTGCCGCCTCTAGCTTGCACCACGTATGTTCTATTTTTTACAACGAAAAACAAACAAAAAACAAAAGATGATTCCCCCCCCCCGGGGTCATCAACTCGGCCTCGCGTGTTGCAGTTTACGTATGATGACGTTGCCTTGCTCATTTTCTCCGATGGGTTCATACCATCCCAGGCGAACCGGCATCCCCCCCTCATGCCTGTCGAATAACAGCATGCGGCGCACATGCGTTGATCTAAGATGAGCGTGTGGTGCGGATCCCGATCGAATAATATCATGCGGGCCACTTGCGCGCGTCCGCAGCGCGCGCCAAACGAAACCCTTGTTCAAAACTGTTGTTTTCGTAGCGGTTGCAACATAAAAACATTAGAAATCGAATGGGTTTTCCACATGCAAGTTTTCAGAAGATGATCCCGCGCGCTCCTGCGAAGTATTAATCTTAAGGGTACTAAAGGTTTTTCATTGCTCCATACAGTGCTACCGAAAAAAGGCTTCGCGCGCGCGCATGTCGAAATCGTTCGAACGCCCTTGCGCGCGCCCTGTCGCGAGAACCCTTTGCAACAAATGAAACGCACTGCGCGCGCGTCGCCGCGCGCATGCCGAAATCTGTCGAACAACATTTCGTAATCGAAACTATTTCACAACATACTGTCAAAACCATAAATACAACACACATGGTTTCGCAACATCAGTTTTCAAACAAAAAATGCGCTCGCGCCTGGCGAATCACTGAGGTACCCATCGTGTTGTTGTTTTTTTCCATACGCGCATGGCATTCTGCCAAGCGGGCCTCTCGCGCCGCATGCCGAAATCATTCGCACGCCCTTGCGCGCGTGCAGGGGGGGGGTACGATCAATGTAAAACAATACCTTGCGGGCCGCTCTCGTGCGTCGGCCGCGCGCGCATGCCGAATTCTTTCCAACACCTTTATCACCGACGCGAGGACGCCGTCATCGTCGTCGGCAGCATCGTCGCCATCACTGGCCGCGCCGTCGTCGTCAACGTTGTCACCAGCATCGCTACTATCATCATCGTGTCTGGCATTGTCGACGTTGCCATGATACCGCGCCCGCCCAAGTCACCGACTCGCAGTGAAGTTCCCGTTGGGATGTGCCCAGCGGTCAGCGCCACCGCGGCCGCGTCGGTGGCGCCAAGCTAACTGGCCGCTGCGCGCGCGTGCTTGGGTTGGCGCGGCCGCAAATATGCACCAGCCAACGCCAAGCACTCATCGCAATCGCCACCGCATGGGTTTTGCAAACCAAGTTGCGGGTGGGTGGGTGGGGGTGCTTGCAAGAGAATGGGATGTGTCAACTGGTTTCTAAAACAACAACTGCACCACATAACCTCACACCACACAGCTTGCACCACGTAGCTTCCACACCCACGCTGCAATAACTTTGTGTTAGGGCCTGCACGCTGGCTAGCATGTTTGGATTGCTTCTTCTTAAATATGCCCAGGGAATTGTTTTGCCGCGTTTTGCTCGGAGCGTTGGGAACCATGTTTTGCTAGCGCGCTTAACACCGTGCCATGGTTTTGCGTTTGTAACTACGTTTCTGGAAGCGTTTTCAAATCAGTGGGCTGCACTGTTTAGCAGTGCCGTCTACGACGTCCTGAGTTTCTTCTCCTGGCGCGCAATCACCCTTTATACTTCCATTGTCATTATTATTGTTATTATTGCTCTTCTCTTCTCCTCGTGGCTGGCTGGTCGCGGAAATCCGCGCCCCCCTTTTGCTGCCAAAACCTTCCCTTCCCCTGGTCGCCGGACGCGCCCTCTGGCCCTCTCAGTCCGACTGCTCGCCGTTCTCAGGGCCTCTTCTGGGGAGTCAGGCCTCTGGGCCCGATGGCCGGTTGCCCCTCCTGGAACCATCGGGCCTCTGGGCATGTTTCGGGCCAGTGTTAGACCTGTGTTAAAGCGTCTCTCTTTTCTTGTTTTGCGCTTTTGACTCTGAAAAAGAGAACGGCGGCAGAAACGAAAAAACGGGAACGAAGACAGCAGGGAAGACAAGGAACAGCCCTCGACCAGAAAGTAATACATTATTTTCAAATCGTGATCAATAGCGATGGGCCTGTAAACGCTTAAAACATCTTAAAGCGCTAGCAAAGAAAAACGCCCAGGGCGCTTTTGAGCAGAATTAAGATGTTTGGTGGCGAAGCGAGCCTGCATACCCTGAGCGGGTCACCACAAAATCGTAACAGAGGGTGGCCTTGTTCCTGCTTTCCTTGACTTTACGGGCTCTGTGTTACCCTGGTCCTTGTCACTTGAAACCCAAATTCTGAGCGCGCAAGGGTGACGATGGCGAGGCCGCCGTCGCGACGCCCGTGCGAGACCCGTGGAACTCCGGAGTTGACGGAGGACGGGCCAGCGATTCGAGGATGGCTTCGCGGGGTGTGCGTTCGGAGCGCTGAGAAGTATAGGCGTCGTGGATCCTACTGGCGGCCTCCTGGAGCCTCTTGGGAGCCCTGGGGCCTCTTGGGAGCGTCTGGGGGCCCTCGGAGCAGAAGGATGGGCCGTCGATTCGAGGATGCAAGGGTACCCTTGTCAAAGTACTGCAGGTCACCTAACTTCGTGCGCGGCGCCCCGCGATGCGCGGCCATCTTCGCGCCCTCGCGAGGCCAGCTCAGAAAGTGCAGCCCTCTGGCCCAGGCCGCCACGCGCGAAGCGGACTATCTTCGCGCCCTGGGGGGTGACCTGTGTACGACGGGTTCGTGTCGAGACAACCTGCTCGTTGGTTTGTGACTCCGCGTGGATTGTTCAACCTTGACCCATCGCGCAAGATCGTTCGATATCGGGCGATTCTGGGCCACTGGCGGTGGTCAAACTTGAACGTCCGCGCTGGGGTCGCCGCCGCGTCAGCGCGACACGAACGTGACGCTGCCGTAGAAGGGTGCGCCGAAGAGGGGCGCCAGGAAGAGCGGGGGCTACCACATCATGGCCAGAGGCACGTGCGCGGGCGAGGAATGGCCGGGGAGCGTTTTGAAAGAACCAGGAGGGTCCATGGCCCCAGGCGTGACGTCCACACACCCCTGGTCCTCACCCTCCTCTGCGACGCCTGGTGGCTTTCGGGTCAAACGTCGGGCCTCTTCGGGCACCCCCCAGAAAGCTCTCGACAAGGCGCAGCTGCTGGAAAGCATCCCGAGGTGCAGAAACCTGCAAGAACCAACCAGAGCGTCCCGACGTCCGTGTAGTCGCCAGCACGACTGAATTGGAAACTTTGCTGGTCGATCATTTGGTGCCCTCTCTGTGTACGGCACTCAATATGCTCATTGCGGCGCTCTTCCCGCTCTTCCTGCTTCTTGCCCGACACGGTATGGTGTGCTTTCCTTTCTGGTGGGTCGCCAACGCGCCGACATATGACCGTTATTGCATAACGATGCGTTGCGAGTCGTCCTTTCACTTCAGCCTCACGCGCAAACAAGGCCCCTCTAAGCGCCAACTTAACACTATTGGGCGCCCCCGACGTGGCCGCCCTGACGCCATCTGCGGGCTTTGACCGTGCGAGAGAGGGCGCGCAGCGGGCCGCGCGCTGCTCGCGTGGGCGCGTGAGCCGTAGAGGCCGCGCGCGCACCCGTCCGTCGCGAGGGAGGGCTCTGCGGGCAGGAGAGGCTTCTTCCCTCTTCTTGAGGAGGACGCGGAGGACGGGGGAGGAGGACCAGTATCGAGCATCGACCTATGCGACAAAGCCGTTGATGGAAGAATTGCTGCTCAGCCTTGCTGAGCTGCTTCGGCCACAGTCCAGATCCCAACCTGTTCAGATATTCTCGACGGGGTGGCTTCTCACACTTATCACATGGAACTTACGAATTCCTGCGGTTCGCAGTTGCCGATCCCCGAAGGCCCCATATACGCAAAACCGAACTCGCAGGGACCGCTCCCGTATCATACTGTGCGTGCTGTGTACCGACCCCCCTCAGCGGTATGGGGCCGCCCCACAGAAGGAACACGGGCAAACTTACAATCGATGGCATGTGGGACAGCACACTGAGACTTCCACCGGAAGTCGGGGGTGAAAAACATATCCGTATCCGCGGCGGCGCGGGCCGGGCCCATGACCGCGACCCCGCTGATACGGGGCCTATCTTCGCAGATTCCCCGCGCGGGACGTGTCCGTGCGACCGTGTATCCATGAGACCGCGCCCCAGAATCCAGATCGCGAGGGCGCGGATAAGGATATGTTCGCCGCGCGTGGGGAGGAGGAACAGGAGGAGGAGGAGGAGGACGAGGAGGAGGAGGAGGATGAGTCGAAGGAGGAGGAGGAGGAGGTGTGGATTACAATGTTTTGCCGTTTTGCCTGATGCCTCATGCGTGCACGTGTGTATGCATATTGCCGCGTCGCCTTTCCGTGCTGGCTCAGACCAATCTTGTTGACTATCAGGAATCAGCGCGTAGGGGCACGCTCGTGAAAG